GTGTTGGGAAGCCATATCGTTGGGAATATGGTTCAGTACCCCTTCTCCCCACCCACCATGGAGTGTCAACAGAGACGATCTTATACTGAAGCGGATCTCCAGGCTGCAAAGACCGAGGATAAAGGGGTGTTATACTCCAGCAAAGTTGACACGAAAAGCTGTAGCTGTCTACCAGATCAAAGGTCAGTGATGGTTCCAATCAATTGGAGACGTACAGAAATCGGAGGTCAGCATCACCAGATTGGTCCTTGAGCCATTCACTGCCTTCTGTGCATAGGGCTCTAGACATATTCAAAAGAAGTTTGTATTCTGAAAATCTCAAAAGATGGTTTTATAATATCATTTTTGGAGATAACATGCTATATGCACAGGGCATGGCGTGACCAGCCGATTGATAGAATCGGGCCTATTCTATCACCCGTCTAGGCAAAGTTAGGGTCGAATGGTGTGTTGGATTAAGGAACACTATTGCCAGTACTGTCATCCTCAACCACCAGACTCCCTTCTTCTACCGACACAGGGACGCAACCCACGGCAAACGGGTTGCCCAATTTGGTCGCCTCTTACGACCAGCAATGGGGTGCTGTGGACCTATTCGAGTCCACACGGGAGCTAAGAGTCATTAGCCTTACCCAACACCCACCACGAGGAGGTTGCTCTTCAGGGGTGCCTCACTCACTCGAATAAACATTTGTCAATCGTACTCATTACACATTATGGAACACAAACGTTATTACATTTAGTCTGAATAACCGAAGCGGTTACAAAATACAGTTTTCATAAAATGCGAAATTTATGTATAAAAAATACAGACAGACAATACAAAAGTAAAAAAGAGTTTTTAGACTTTTTATGAGTATGTTGAATATTACTAGACATTATTTTCCTTAAAACATAAGCCACCCAAAGAATATACTGAATTATAAGTTATTTTTTAATTTTCAGAGTTATTAACTGAATGAGTGGCAGTTTCCAATCACAAGACAAACAGTTTTTACTGTGCTGGAGATTTATGTACAGGGCCCCTATTCTCGAAACGTTCGTAGGCCTAAGAACTTCTTGAAACCGTTCTTAGCGCTTACGAACTTTTACTATCCTATTCTCGAAACGTTCTTAGCCTTACGAATTTTTAAATTTAAGAAAAAAACTAAGACAGCTAGTAGGCTGTCGTAACTTGAGATACGCAAATTACAGATGGCTGCGTTGATTGTTTTTATGAATGAGGAAGATTTAAAGGGTAACCGGGAGAGAGTTTACAGAAACCGGAGGAGATATTTGGATTTGTTGGACGATCAAGAGTTAGTTGCGAGGTACAGGATGTCTCGCCGAGCGATAGAACAACTATGTACATTGATCAGGCCCCACCTGGAGAGACAGATGCAGCGTTCTGTGCCCCTTGATGCAGAGTTGCAGGTGCTTGTCACCCTTCGCTATATGGGAAAGGGGGGTTTCCAGTCTGAACTAGCTGACCTGCACGGGGTTTCCCAGCCGACTGTGTCCCGGGCCCCGTTTCACGAAGCTCTCGTAGGCCTAAGATCTCGTAACTTTTCTCGTAGCACAATCTTACGATTTTATGGGCGTTTCACGAAACTCTCGTAGGCTTACGATACCTTAAATTTACAATAAAAATTACGGTAAGTATTTGCTCTCGTAAATGAGCTTCATTCTCGTAAGTCAAAACAAAATGGCGTATTATATGTTGTTAAAAGAAAACTCAGCAAGAAAAGTATTCAAAAACAGCGTGTTTTTCGGGATCGAACATTGCTACTGGACATCGTAAGTGACGACGAACTGTTTATGAACTTTCGAATGGACAGGGCCTCTTATTTTGAGCTAATTAATCTCACTCGTCCATACCTTCAAAGAGACACCAAGCGTTCCGTGCCGATTTACCAGAAACCCAAGTGCTCGCAACACTGCGATTTTTGTCAAAGGGAGGGTTTTATTCAGAGATTGGCCAAATGCATGGTATGAGCATCCCAAGTGTTTCGCGTATCCTGCCACAGATGCCATTTGTGATTCGTTGGACAATATCCACTTCCCGACCTCTGTGAGTGAGCAGCGCGTTGTCAAGGAAGGTTTCCATAATCTGGCTGGTTTCCCCTGAGTTCTCGGATGTATTGACTGCGCGCTCATCCCTATCCAAGCTCCGACTGGTGACGAGGAACCCTCCTACGTGTGCCGGAAAGGATATCATGCAATAAATGCACAGGCTGTGTGCGATGACAAACTCAGGTACAACACTTAGTAGTTTAGTCACTCCACTTCGTTCCCTCCATGTTTTATCAATGTGTCAAAAACGTTAGATCTATCCCCAAACAAACTGGAGTAAGTTCCCCTAGTTGTGTTTCCATTTAAAAATGGATCTCCTAAAATGAAAAAAAAAGATTTAAAAAGAAAAACACAGTAACTGATTAATGTCTTTATGTCATAGTTTTCAGGTCACAGGCCGATAGAACATATTTACATACAATGTACGTAATAACAAACTTAGACTTCTTATATACATTTGCAAATACACAATGAAGCTTCTGATGAAGAAATTAAGCAGGTATCATCACTTGAGTGACTATCATTGCATGGAAAATAAATTTAGAACATTGCATAAGAATGTATCTAGTCACTAGTACATTACAAGTTGATAAAAAGATATAAGCAGAAATGTACTACAGTTATATTTTATGGAAAACAATGACTGACTGACTGACTTGAGTTTGGTTTTACGCCGCTTTTAGCAATATTTCAGCAACATCACGGCGGGGGACACCAGAAATGGGCTTCACACATTGTGCCCATGTGGGAATTCGAACCCGGGTCTTCGGCGTGAAGAGCCAGCGCTTTAACCATTAGGCTACCCCACCGCCTCTGGAAAACAATGAAGTGATGCAAAATAACTAATAAGTATATACATTGACAATATGAAAAAAGTAACTTTTATCTTCATAAATAAATGCTAATAACATAATGATTTAGAGTTGATGATAACATGGAAATTGTTAGTAATTGCGAAGTTACAAAACTGTTTGTAAACAGTCTGAAAAACATAGTGACTTTTCAATGGAAATGTAAAGGACTTTTATATTTATTTTATCAAACTACAACACTGGTCATATCCAATGAACTAACCCACAGATATGTTTAATTTCTAGATTCCTTAATGTGGTAAGTAGATGGCCTGGGGCAACTCATGATGCAACAGTGCTGTCTAGCTCTGCCCTGGGACAACACCTGGAGAAAACCCCTGTAGATGGCTGGCTGCTAGGTGACTCAGGGTTATTAGTGTCAATACAATTTGTTTTACCCGATTGACATGCTTTTACATCCTGGATAGTTGCTATCAGTTTTAGTAATTACTAAAATGGAAGTATCCATTTATGAAAGTAACATCTTAAAGGTTTACTATAACATAGTTTGATTTAAACACTATAAGATATGTTCTTCTTTTGTAAGTAAATACCTAAATATTAAATACTATGTACTTTTCCATGACTGTTCTGTCAGATATCCAAGTCGTTCATGGCTCTTGACGCCCATTCTAGAGGCACACACACGCCCAGAAGAGCGATACAATAGTTGTCACTGCAGAACAAGAAATGTAGTAGAAAGGGCCTTTGGCGTTTTAAAATCAAGATTCAGGTATGAACCTTGCAAGTTTAATGAATGAAGAAAAAAGTAAAATAATGAAATGAAAATTTGATTGCATTGTAATTCCTTCAACAGTTTAAAAAAAATTAAAATACATTTATCTATTTATCATATTGTAATTATTATATGATTATCATATAATGTGATATGTTAAATTTAGATATATTTCTCTCTCTCTCACTCACACATACACACACACACTCACACACATTGTTCTAAATTTGGATTTCCTAATTTCAGATGTCTACACAAGAGCACTGGCTGCCTTCCCTTCACCCCAGCAAAAACCTCCAAAATTATAATGGCCTGCTTCAAGCTGCACAATTTTTGCCTGAGTAGAAATATGCCCTGTCTTGTAGATCATGACCTAGATGAAGATGAGAATGATGATAATCATTTTCCGGATGGTTCAACACAGACTGATGGACAAACTGTTCGCAGAAATATCATTAGAGATAGATTCACATAAAATGTATAAAGAATGTGCATATTTTAAAATTCCGAAATGCATATGTACAGTGTAACAATTCACAGGAAAACAAGAGAATCTTATGATACAATACATAATACAAGTGCTATTTTGGTGTCAAATATTTGAGGAATTATATTCATTGGGATTAAAGTATGTATCTTAATAAGCTGATAAATGGGAAAGCAGCCCAAAATAACCAACATCTTATATTATCAAATTACTGCTATTTTACTTGAAAGGTACATACACATCAAGTGGTGATAATGGTTCTGTTCTCTGGCAATACATATCCATTAATGATCTTTTTAGGCCAGACCAGTTTTACGGTTCAGCTGTTCATTTTTCTTTTCTAGAATGAGAAAAGAAAGTAAATATTAATTTCCCTCTCTAAAAAAAATTATATCATAATGAATTTATTGGCCAAAAATGTAAACTTACCAGAAAATTCTTTTTAGATTCTATTTTTGCCCTATATACACTTTATAAATTGCCAAAAGTAAAATACTTTAAGCATTTAGAAGGAGTATTATTTTTATTTAATTTTATAATTTTTCCCTCCTGCCTTTTAGGTTTTCTGAGGACAAAATCCTGTAAAACAATAAATGAAATTGGTCTTACAATTAGTTACAATTGACAGGCCACCTCCTATAGGGTTCAGTCCATTCAAAATTTGATTACAGGGTCAATACTTAAAACTGAATAAAACTCCATTCTCTTTTCTTTTATTTCCAACTTCTCTCTTTTCAATGACATTCCGTTCCTCCATTGCCTGAGCTATTCTTCTCAACACTTCTAACTTTTCTTTTTCAATTTTGACAATATTCAGAATGTCGTCGTCAGATGGATCATCAGCTACTGTAATTAAGAAATGCCTGGCATCAATTATCAAATCCTAAAATTACCGTTGAAAAACATTTTTCAATAACATTACATAAATTGGATCAGTATGATGAAATTGATGGATGCATGATAATGACTTGCCAGTATGATTTTTCCTTTTTGTCTGCTTGAACGGTGGCTTTACTGCAATGTTGGGAGGTGATATTACACTGTGCAATGATGATATCAAATCTGTTGACAAAATTTAATAGAACATTACATTGCAATTTTGCAATAAAAAGTCAATTGAAAACCTAGCTTCATCCTCACAAGAATGTAACGGCTGTCAACATTTAACATTCAACAATTGTCTATAGAGAGAGAGAGTTGGTTAATGATATCACTATGAAATAGCAGATAAATCATTGAAAACATATATTGCTATTAGGCAAATAACAAGCGTCCTGTTCAGTTTGTTTGGTGTATGATATATATATAGGTGAACAAACCTTCACATGAAGAGCTTCCCACTGGGGTATCAGGGACACACTTGTTGCCGGTGTCCACTGAGACCTCGGTCACTGGTGGAGACTGAGTGGTCACACATGACTCTGTTGGACCTGTAATGACATTAATGACATTAATTACATCTGTTGAAATTTGATATCGGTCTAAAAAATCAAACAATTGCTTTTAATTTATTCTCAAATGGTTTTATTGAATAGAAAAATCTTTTATATCTGAGATATACTGTATTTATGTCAATACTGCTTCTTAAGTTCTTACTTGTTTCAAAGTATTCAGACTCCATTCCACCTTCAATACCCTCTAACTGGCAAGTGGGTATGAGACTTGCTACCTATTAAGAAAAATGTGATGGTTGATACATTATATTGTCTTTTTTGTATTTTCAACAACTAACCAATCTAATTACGAATAATTTACTTCACTCCACCAGGGTATAGATTTAAAATCTTAGTAAGTGTGATTCATAATTTCTTTCTATGAAGAGAAGTTGTCAGAGAATCTATTTTCAGCACATTTTGAGCTAAGTAGTGAATGTTTCTCATACCCTTTCTTCCACATCTGACAATGGTTGAGGGCTTGGACCGCCATCAGTTTTCTTCATGTCCCTCATTTCCTTTTTAACTAAGGACCTGGGAGAATTCAAAATCTTGGATTAAGGTTCACATATTAGCACTTATTTTATTCAGATTGAGTTTTTTGGTAGAACAAGTACAATATTTATCCAGAGGTAAAAAAACAACAGTGTATAAATGATCATGACACATTCCAACAAACTCACATGATATTTCAGACAAATTTAAGAAATTTTGATAATACATTACTGTATTATCAACATACTGTATTATAATAAGAATACATGTATGTTAACTAATTAATATTTATATTTCCTCTTTCAAGGCATATACGTTATACCATTTATATTAGTTTACCCTGTGAAATAACTGGTGGCAAGGTTTTTGTACATTACATATAAATTAATTACTTGTATTTAGTGAGGGAAAAAAGTATGTTACAAATTGTAATGCAGATTAACTAAACTTGTCCTAAAGCTTTGATCAAATTGTTATTGATGTTGAATTTTGTGTTATTGTCAAACAAATTTACTCATGAAAATAATTTACGCTTCCATGGTGAAAATAAATAACTAAAACTTTAGGTTCAGTTTTGAAAAGATCAATGTTTCCTCACCTGAAGTCAGTCCATTTCTTACGGACCTCGTCCCCATCCCTCCTAGAATTAGCATTTGCATTGATCCTATTAACAAAAACATGTTCATAATACAATGAAAGATGATATCTTTTTTGTAATATTAACACAAGTGGTTTGAAATTATGTTGAGCATGTGAAGGTATTTCATATAACAAGATAAATTCTCAAATGTACATAATATACCGACACCATCGCCATTTTGTATCTAAGGACGTTTGTCAAAGTATTACATCATTTGCTTTTATGACACTTGTTACATTAACATTAAGGAGTGTGTTTATTCGTTGTGGTTTTTTTAGCATTGCGTTTAAATTTAATTAAGCTGAAATCAGAAGAAGCCTACGAACGAAAGATCGACTCCATCATCACTTACTTTTCAGCGATCTCATTCCAGAGACGCTTTTTGCCAGCAGCTGTGATGACTGCTGAAAATCTACCAAACAGATAGCTGCTGTTGTGGGCCACTTCGGACGTTAAAATGTCCAATTCAAAGGACGAGAAATTCGTTTTTCTCACCCTTCCCTTTGACTTCAAGTCCTCCATTGTACGGCGGGTTGTCGTCTGTTTACACAAAGGGACGTAACTCGCAATCCATGTTCTTTTCAAGTCTTCTCAGCAAAAGAGTTGGCAATACGATAGCTAAAAGTTACCGTAAGTTTTCTCGTAACAACGAGAGTACTAAGATACTTTCGTGAAACGCCCTTAGCGTGGTATCGTAAGATATACCGTAGGTGTTACGAGATCTTAGGCCTACGAGAGCTTTGTGAAACGGGGCCCAGCACCACAACTTCTCGCGAGGACGATCTCTGCCGTAGGTCACGTCTCATTAAGACAAACAATCAGTTTGTGAGAACCCGTTGGACGCGAACCCTATTGTTAGCTCGACAGCTAATCGCATTTAGCGCTAACCGCTAAATTGTGTTATTGTTGGCGTCGCCATACCACGTGCCTTTGTTCAAAAAACATGACTGAGAGGGTACGTAAGTCCCAAAAACTTTCAAAGCAAATTTAGGCTTGCCACGTTTTTAATCGTAGAATATGTGTGCTTATAATTTATGGCTAGATTTCTCTTCTGTCGCCAATGGCTGAAGGGATGATGTAAATCCAACTAGGGTCCATGCAGGTAGCGAAAGTAATGTAAGTCCCCATGGTTCCTAGTATTAGGCCAGTAGAAAAGGCCCCCAAAATATTTAACCCGGACATTTAACCTAACAACCAAATTTATGTTTTAAATTAATATACTATCATGGAGAATGCATTATAAAAAACCCAGACAAAATCAACCTTGGGGAAACTTTGTTACAGTGTAATAAAGTTTGAGGTGCAAGTCTTAAAATGCATTCACATATAATAACGAGTTGTGCGGAAAGTACAAGCATGTTGCTATGAAAAACAATATGGCAGCCACCATGTCGTCTGCTAGATGTATGAGCCTGCAGCTGTAACTTGTGCAAGCGTGCATCACAGACTTTTAAAAGCCTGACAACAATGGAAAACAGTGAGTATTGAACATTTGCCTTGTTATTATGATGGTAAACCTTGGTTTAGTACAGTAAATACACTTGATATTGTAACAAACTAAGTGGAATATTTCAGTTGACTGCTATGTTATAAAGGTACATTAAATTGCACATTTCTTGTGATTTTGTCAGTAACAAATATTTTTTAAGTATTGATTATTGCTTTCTATGCCATTATGTACTATCAAACTTGAGGAAAAAATCAATTTGCAAAGAGAAAATGCTGTGTTAAAAGGGACTATTTTTTATGGTGTGAAGCAAAGATACTATTCTCCTAAAACCATATTCTAATGATATGAACCTCTGTTTGGATTATCAACTTACATTGTGAAGTAATAAAATATGGCTAAAATTAGAGTGAGTTTACAATGGTTTTAACACCTATGCATGGAGAGTGAGTGAGTTAATATTTAACGTCACATCGGCAATATTTCAGCCATATAGTGACGAGAAATGTTTTATACAAATAATAAATTAAAGTTACTAAAGAATCAGTCAGCGAAGGACTGTAAAATAACTGGAGTATCACAGATGGAGTCTAAAACTAGCATGAACATGTAAAACTATTTTATTTACGAAGACAATACAATATAAAAACGGGCTATAGATCGCCAACAACTGAAGGTAGATCACCATACTAGGAACCATGGGGACTTACATTACGTTTGCTACCTGCATGGACCCTAGTTGGATTTACACCATCCCTTCAGCCATTGGCGACAGAAGAGAAATCTAGCCATAAATTAAAAGCACACATATTCTACGATTAAAAACCTGGTACACTTAAATTGACTTTGAAAGTTTTCGGACTTACGTACCCCCTCAGGATGACAATAATTTTACGGCACCCATGAAGGGCCACCTCCTCGTGGTGGGTGCTGGGTAACGTTAAGAGCCCTTCAACCCCCCGTTTTGAACTTGGGGGATATTTGGTCCACCAACCCGTTTGCCGTGGGTTGCGCCCCTGTGTCGGTGGAGGACGGGAGGCTGGTGGTTGAGGGCACTGGTTCCAGGAACAGTGTTCCTTAGCCCAACACACCACTTTGCCCCTTACTTCACCTAGACGGGTGGTTGAATGGGCCCGGTTCAACCAATCGGCTGGTCATGCCGAGCCCTGAGCACTAAATTTCGTTGCTCTAAAACTATTAGGCTTGGATTTATTTGGCCACAATATTGACATGTTTGGTTTTGTGTATTTATTGTATGAAATATGAAGTGTCCGACCACTCCCATGCAAGGGCACATAGCTTGTCGCCCACTAAAAAAGTGAGGGGTAGAATCCCAATCCTTCCACCTAAAAGATAGTCCATTCCAAAAATATAGTACAGTGGAACTGTAGAGGATTAAGGACCAATTTTAATGAGTTACAGCTATTAGTCCAAGATTTGGCACCATCAGCTTTCTGTCTGCAGGAAACCCATCTGAAGCAGACAGATACTTTTAATTTACGTCAGTTTGCTGCATATAATTATTTTTCACCTCCGGGTGACAGGGCCACTGGGGGGTCTTCAATCCTTGTAAAGCAGGACGTTATCCATAGTCCTGTAACACTCACAACTAGTCTCCAAGCTGTTGCTGTGAGACTAACTCTTCACGTTACCTTTACACTGTGCTCTTTATATATTCCGCCTTCTTCAACACTCCAGCAGTCTGAACTTCAAGCTCTCTATGCCCAACTTCCTAAACCTTGTATTATAATGGGTGATCTCAATGGCCATAACCCGATCTGGGGTGGTACAAACACTAACACTAAAGGTAAAATACTGGAAGATTTTATATCCAATAATGACTTGTGTATATATAATGACGATTCAAGCACTTATCTGCATCTGGCACGTACTCTTCTCTAGATTTGTCTCTTGCAGACTCTAACCTCCTCAATGAATTTGACTGGTCAGTCCACAATGACCTCTGTGAAAGTGACCACTTTCCAACTATCCTTTCAGAAATCTATCCATCTGATTCTACATCTTATACAAGATGGAACTTTTCCAAGGCGGACTGGCTCTTATTTCAAACTTTGTGCACATCTAAACTAAAAACTGAATATTTCAGTGATATATCTGATCCTATTGAGGTTTATTCTGACGTTTTACATGAAATAGCTGATGAGTGTATACCAAAGTCCTCTACAACTCCACATGTACGGAAACCATGGTTTAATACAGATTGTAGGCAAGCCAGAAAAGCGAGGAAAAAGGCAGAGAACTATTTCCGCCATCACCCAAATGTCCATAACTTAAATAAATTTAAAATACTCAATGCGAAGGCACGTCGTACCTTCAAACAAAACAAACGGCAATCTTGGAGGAACTATGTCTCCAAAATCAATTCACGTACGCCACTGTCCAGAGTATGGAACATGGTTCAAAGAATTAAAGGTAAAGGTTCAAAATCTGCTGTTCACCATCTTAAAGATCGCGATAATTTAATAACTGACAAAACTAAAATTGCAGATTAAATTGGCAAAACTCTTGCCAAAAATTCTTCATCGGCAAATTATGTCCCTGAGTTTCAGAGATATCAGAAACAACAGGAAAAGAAAGAAGTTAATTTTGAATCAAATAATGGTGAAGACTATAATGAACTGTTTTCATTACAT